AGGAATTCAGGGCTTCTGGTTGTCAGTCATGTACTTTGTTTAAGTTGGTGTGCGTTTGACACTATGGCTCTCTTGGGTACCTGAAGTGAGGAAGGGAGGACTTCCAAAAATTAGAACATGCTGAAGGAGCTTGGGATTTTGAGGCATTTGTTCAAACATCCAGCACTCGTTCTGAATGGTGGCAGATTATCCTTTGCTCCAATGTTTTGGATTTCTTTGTTGCTGTAACCATTTCCCCACTAATTTTCATTTAGTATGTACTTAAAAACAAAGAAACCAAACCAAACAAATCTCTGGCAGAATGAAAAAAAAACAAAACCGAAACACCCTCACTTTTTTGTCCACCTGCTCGTGTTTATTTTTGTTGTGTAAGAGTTGTTGCCAGTAGATACCTTCTTCTTTTTATGTGTTAAACTGGCTTTTCAAATGTTTATCTAAACCATTTCAAAGATAGTTGCTAATACTGCTCGCTCTCTCCCTAGTGCTGATCTACTTGTTCCTGATAACCTTTAGTCAGAAACCTGCTCTCTGTAAACCTGAGTTTGGCATTGGATTCCTTTCCTTTTGTAAATACCTCACTTTGGTTAGAAATGGGTAACTTTTTATCCTGATGTATAACAAGTACAACTTTCTCGTTAACAGAGATTATCATAGTTTAGCTGTCTCTGTAGCTAAATCGGAGTTGTATGAACAAAGCCAAAGCTTTGATCATACCAAGGATTATTGTCACTGAAAGATAACTAGAGTGTGGTAGAAACAAACTAGGGCATATAAATGTTGAAGTTTGTCTTAGAAGCTACTTAGAAGACTGCACTAAATATTCATTAAATAAAGGAAGTAGTGAAATTTGTCAGAATTTCATTCAAAGCTATGCTCATCTTGAGATCTGAAGTTAAATGAAATAGTCTAGAAGTCAGAAAGGTGGCTTCCTCTCTGCCCCTCCCAGTCTTTCTTCTACTAGAATTTTCTGCTAAAGACCAAAGGGTCCTAAGGAGAATGTAGTTTACCTGTGTGCAAAGTAATTTTGAAATACATATGAAGTAAAATAAGGTATTGGAACTTGCATTGTTTTCATTCCCATAACATTTGTCTAGTATTTTTAATGAAAACTGAGAGGAAATTAGATGTTGTGAGCAACAGATCACTTATGGCTTGAGTCCTAAGGAAAAAAAAAGAAGCTGTTTAAAAAAAGAATATTTCTGCTGCAGCTATCAGATTTTTAAAGTGATATTTTCAACTCAGATTTCTGTTCTAGCAAATGGTTATTGTTTTGCTTCTATTTTTAAAGAAGTCTTTTCTGTTGTGTAGTGGGAAGGTTGGCCGTTATAATTATTACGACATTGGTTTGTATGTGGCTTCTTCTTTTCATATTTATCTGGCTGTCGAGAGTCATCTTTTGTATTTTTTACTAATCACAAGCAGCTTTTCTCTATAAAAAAGCTTTCCCTCTCATTTTAAGTAAATTGTTATCACATTGTTTCATGAAACTATCATTTTTTAAAAATAAGTACTGCTGAGTAATTCAGTCCCCAGGAGTATGCTTGCACCTCCTGTAAATGTCGTTGCTCAGTTACTTTTCTTCTAATAGTTCACTGTCTCCGTTCAGGACCTCCTGATCTCATTTGTGCCCCTGAAAGAGTGGATCCTACTTAAAGCTGGAAGACTTCTATCTGATAAAGTCTTTAAGATTTTATAGATTTTAAAAAAAAAAGGAAGTAGTATTTTTGCTTACTTGTGGGCTTTGCGATATGTGGCTCTTCATATGTTACGTGACTGTCTCACTTAAATTCTGAAGAAGTGAGCTGAGTAAATCCTGTTCCAGAGTGTTGATAAGAGGGTGCACTATGTCTTGGCTCTAAGTTCATTGTTCGTTTTTGGCCTATACAGGGCATGCCAGCCAGCAGTGTGACCCGTACCAGCTTAGAAGCTGATAGGCACTTGTTATCAGGAACGTGACTAATGAACTTAAAGACTGTTCTTGAAGAACAGATGCTTCATCAGCATGATAGCTCAGCAGAACTCGTTGAAACCTGTGATATTGCTCTTTGCTAAGATGGCACCTCTGAAAGTGTGTGTATTGCTGTAACTGAAGTTTTGATGCTTCCTGATACCTTCCTCTGTTAACAGGAAGGGAGTGACGTGTGCCTGTACAAAAGCCTGCTTTTCTTTTATAGCGTATATTTCTATTCGTGATGATTTGAGAGGTAAGGCTTCTGAAGTGATTAATGTCTTAAGGCAGCTTTTGAGTTCTGGTAGTTTTATAGGATTTTAATACAGTGAATCCCATGGCTTTATGCTTATGGGAAACTCAAATTCTAGTACAATGAAAAGCAGTCTAGAATAGGAGATGTTGAGAAACTGAGTGCATAACATTTCACCTTTCTGCACCAGAGTACTTGAAAGGAGACTGAAAGCAAAGGAATGTGCTATTACGTTTGCTGTTGCAGTTTAAGAGATCTAGTCCATCTCCTTATCAGTGTGGTTGATAAGGCATGGTCTGTTTTGGTATGCTTTCTACAGAATGACTCAAATAATTGGCTTGGCTGTATTCTTGCAGATAGTTCTATTATTAATAGATGTTTCTTTTCAGAGCTTTTACATTTTTTTCACAGTGTCATTTTGTTTTTTTATCTATTACTTAAACATACAATCTGTATCTCTTAGGAAAAAAAAACCAGTAGCATGTAAACCTGGGTAGATACTGATCTCAGGCTTGATTGATTCAGAAACCAAAGTTTAGTACAATGTGTGCAATGATTTTCTTAGGTAAAGCACTAGCTTTTTAAATTCTTCAAAAGAACAGATATTCCAGGCACTGCAGTACAAAAGCTGGGTGATTTTTGCCTTAGACTGTGTTGTTCCTTCCTTGGTAGTCTGTGATTGTTGTTTTTTTTTTCTTTTTTGTTTGTCACACTGAAAGTTTGCATCCAGTTTTTTGTTCCTGTATACCTTTGGTTGTTTTGCCATTATCAGTTTTTCCTGTTTGTGAATTATCTGCTTGACTATGTTAATGGATATCTTTTAGGTTGTCTGTAGAGCGTGACACTGTAATGATCTGGAGCGTTTATTGAGATTTTTAGGACGTAGATGGTGATCTAAGGTGGCAAAGTTGTGCAGAAATCTCCCAGATGTTAAAAAAACCCAACTGCTGTAGTGGTCAGTGTTAAGTAGTTTTTTTTCTAATTATGTTCTTGCTTACCTGGTCAAAATCTAGGTAACCAGCAGTAGTAGCCTAGAATCCAAGCATTTACTTGAATTCT